AAATTCTTAACTAAGTATAACTAAAGGTTATCCCCGTATTTACTTTAGATTTTAAAAGTTAAATTTATTAACTTATGATACGAACATTTTATATTTACATTAATAATTAAGGTTAGTTTTTCAACCTATGCATACATTTCTTAAAAAAAAATACTCTAACTGTTCGAATTCAGATCCGTGATGTCACTGGACACTTTCTAAACAAATTATAATTTCTGGTTGAGCCGTACATATTTATATACCTAATAGGTATATACCTATAGGTATTATTATATATTTATATGTGTGTGAATAAAAAACTATGATTTTCTATATTATTTTTTAAAAAATAAACTATTATTTGAATGAATGTGCCAATGTCTTGTGAGCATACACCAAACACAGGAGCGAACTAAGTATTGAGGGGTCTGGGGGGGGTCAACTGGATCTATTACATTTTAATTAATAAATATTTTTTTCCATCCAAATTCGGATATTCTAATAATAAATAATTGATGTTTTACCATTATATTTTAAAATTACATTTTGTATATGGGTAATTACTAAGACACTATCGAGGGCTCAGGAGGCGACCACCCCTATGCCTCCCTGGCTAGTCCACCCCTGACAAAATACATCAAGCGTTTAGGGAGTTAATTCACTTTTAATTTCGTTATATTGAATTACTGAATCGCATAGAGACTATATTTAATTGCACTGATTTTCGTGTGCTGTATAAAATGCATTTCGATTTGCTTACACGGTGACACTGTTGAGTCAGATTCATTACGTATTGCTAATACGTACTGTACAATATATTATCCAATGATATAACGATTTCATTCATCGCGTTGTATTATTGTGTTACACGAGTCATCGAGAAAATTTGACAAACGCATAATTACACAATAAGTGATTCACTTTAGGTACAACATATTTTCAAACAATATTATATAGTCGTCTCACGATCGTGATAATATCACATAGTATTGCGTTCTAATGTATGAACAATAATAAAACGAAAAAAATGTGACAAAATTCCATGATACATCAATGGTGGCGGCGGCGGCGGTTTTATATCAATTGCGTCGAAAATCGCAGGTAAAGAAAGAAAAATTATGAGATGGAAAAAAGTATACATCTATTGTGCCGATCGATATTTAAGTTAATAGATTTTGTGATTACCTCATTGATACATATATTGATGAAAATGCAACTTTTCCCCCGTATCTTTGGTCATCGTGTAACATATCAGGCGAAAGAACAACAAATGCCTGTGGGGCATTTCACACAGCGTTTGGGAAATATTTTTATTCACCCCATCCAAATATTTTTATTTTTTATGAAGTTTTAAAAATAATGTAACGCAACAGTCATAATACGTGTTCTCTTAATTATCATAAATAAACAAAACTCTAAATTTATGACAAAAAAATAAATAGTAAAATAGACATAACTAATTTTAATATTAGATCTATCTAATATATATATATATACTATTAGTGTTAATACCAAGTATGTAGAATGATAAGTTTGATTTTAATTTTAATTTTTGTTTTTAACTATTGTAAAACTTGTACTATATAGTTTTTATACCAGCGCAATAAATGTATACTATACAGGCAGTGTCCCAAATTCGGCGCAATTGACGAATACCGGCGACGGTGTATCGTTACGATAAATACATAAATAACTACCGTACACACAAACTTTCAGAACATCTAGCAGCGGCCTTGACAAAACACGTGTATAATGGTTATACGGATCACTATTGTCGACGAGCAAACCGGATCTCGGTCATCCAATGTCGTTCGATTACATCATTCCGAATTACAATACTTTGTTCGTTGTTTTTTATTTTTTTTTCACTTAAAAACTCGTCTCTCCACATCTACCATCTCGGTACAAGGATAAAATTTCTGACAAACTCATCGGTCATCTCGTTGTATCTTTCCTTTTCATTGCGGTATGTCTAACACCGGGGTTTCAATAACGTTTTCGATGAAGCAGTGTGATCCTCTCAAAAACGACGTTCGATCACTTGAGCACTGTATGAGAAGAGAAACGTACGTGTGAACGACGCTCGCGCGCGCGCACACGGTCAACCGTTAATTATTACATGACTCGGTAAACTCTCTAATTACCGTACGTTTTATTCGCCGCTCAGCCGCTTGCGAGAAAAAACATTTTTACGGTTCCGCGTCCTTTAAACGCAAATGACGATAACGAACGAGCTCCGAATATTATAACCGAATAAAAAAATAAATATCAAATTAGAAATCTACGGTCGGTTTATGTGAAAGAAAAACAAATTCAACACGTTAAATCGTGTGCTGCGTACTCGTGACGAGTACGGAACCATCATCATCAAAACGTTTATTTGGATGCGCAGTTTAAATTTTGGATTAAAATTGTGATAAGCTGTAATTTGCTAGACGCAAGAGTAAAACTGTAAAAGTTTCATTACAACACATTGGTCATAAATAAACGTAATAAAAACGCGGTACAATCAAATGTTTATACATACATAGGCTTGAGCGCTCCTGTATTTCAAGGAGTTCCTATAATTATTTTAAGTTCTAAATTAACAAAATAATTTCATAAATTATAATGTACAAAATAAATAATTAAACATAAGTTTAGTTGTTTATTTAATACTGAGATATCTTAGTCTCAATGAATATGTTTCCTTGAATCTCGTACATTTTTCTCAGATAGCTTCAATTATTTACGATTATACTTTTGTAATAATTTGTAGTTGTTATATTATCATATGTTTTTCACGATAATTTAGAAAAATAAACTTAAACTGTAGGTCCTCGTTTATAATATATTGGGGGGGTGTCCAAGTACACCCGGTGTCCTCCGTCCCCATGCCAATGTACACACGTATATACATCAACAGTACCGTGCCTAGTATAATTAGCGCCCGGTGCCAAAAATCATTTTTAGCACCCTCATCCCTCTATAAAATATTTTTGAGCATACCTAACCTTAAACTATAAAGAGACTACCTAAGAATATGGGGTTTTATGTAACTTCTTATTTTGTATTTATTAAATTAATAAAAGAAATAATCAACGACTAAAGAACAATATAAGTAATATAACTCAAACTGATTCTTTGACGCCATGTTTTCTCACTCTAGTCTACCTACTTGAACAAGTTACCCGCGAATTTAATTTCTATATTTAAATCTATAGTTCCCGTTATACCAGTCAAAGTATGGTTCAACGATCTCACTCTTTCCAGATCCCTCGTAATCAAATTTAATCGATTACACACAGACCATTATCTCTTACCATGTTGCTTGCAACTTAAATCTTAATGATTCCCTTCCAGTGATGCAATTAACGGGAGTATTGGATGTAAAATTCACAGAAGCCTCGTGATCTCTTCTGATATTACCTTTGTCCCTTACAATATTTCTACTATAATCTGTAATATACACATATTATATTGTCTATTTTAATATAATAACAATAAATAATATGTCTGGGCATTTTCATATGGGCCCCTTATCTTCAAGTTCCGCCACTGTTCCCTTCTCTGCACACTCCATTTAGAAAAAAAAAATCTGTATTCTATTTTATATTCTCCTTGAATGCCCTTCCTTTCCTACCAAACGCAATATCCTAATTAGTCTCTCAATAACCCATTCAATACTTCAACATTCTAAATTTCAAAATCTGCTCTCATTCTAATTATTTCCTTCGTTCATAAGGCTGATTTCTGTATACAATCTTTTATTATTTTAATAATTTTATAAATGATATATTATTGTTAATTTGTCATCTCGTCGATTTCGGGGGAAAAATAAGCGACATCGTCGATCAAGACAATGTTAATGATTTCGACTACGCGCGATACCAAGGCATTAAACGTGTTAAATATTTTAAATTAAATAATAAGGTTAACTTTCAGTAATTTTACTCAGATTATAAAAAAACTTAAGGTGCCCAAGTGTTAATGGCACCCGGTGCACACGCACCTTTCGCACCCCCCATAGGCACGGCCCTGTATATCAGTATATATCATATTATAACTTAAATTTATTATTGAATCGCAAAATATTTGGAATTTTATGATTGAAAAATTGTGCATGTCAAGTACAAAATTTGATTTTATATTATTTAATGTTAAGCTATAACTCACCAGTTCACATAATAAATTCGAACAAAATAAACCTACTACTATAGGGTGATCAGACATCCCGTTTATAACGGGATTATCCCTTTTTGATCATCACGTCCCGTTTTCCCGACAAAATTTGAATGAGATGATTTTTGTCCCATTTAAATCTCGTTATTTCCATATTATTTAAAAACTATAATAGTTTTGAAATGCTGCATTATGTTGTTTGATGAATAATTAAAAGAAAACATTTTATTTTTTAGATTATTTTACTGAAAAAGGGTAAAATAAAAAGTAAATAATTGATTATGATATGACAGAGATTTGGACTTTAACTATCGAGATTTGTGTGAATGTGAATATGTGTGAATGTATATGGATGAGGGTTTTTTTTTGGGGGGGGGAAGAAAAACAGCTGTCCCATTTTTTTATTTTCTTAACATCGTCACCCTATACTACCATGATAATCATTGGGAACAATTTTTATTTAATATTCAATCGCATAGTTCTATATTGTGATTAAATCTCCTTTCGCATCATAGAAATACGTAATTTTTTAAAAATAATATTCTTAAACAATTTTATTTTTCTGAGTAACAAATATTAATGTTTCGATTGGTTCCACTTTATAGGTATATTCGATTACATTAGAAATACGTTTTTATTTCAAAATTACGATATGATCTAAATCAGTCTTTCTCAAAGTGGGTGATAGCGCCCCCCTGTGGGCGTTGGTAGTCTTTAGGGGGCGGATGGATGCCCGAAGAAATTTTGAGGACGTTGAGTTGGGTTTAGGGGGCAATACAAAAAAAAATATATATAAATATTATATTATATTAAAAAAAAAGTCTCATTTATATATTTATACATAATAAACATACTTTTAGAATTGATCACAAATGAGGAAATCAAATTCAAATTCAAAAATGGCTATCAAGAATTTTGGCTGCAAAAGCCAATCATGAAACTGTACCCTAGTTTATGGTCGATTGTTCAACGATTTCTGATAGCATTCCCATCATCGTATTTGTCTGAACGTGGATTTAGTGCTGTAGCAACACTGCTAACAAAAAAGAGAAATCGGTTGCTTGTTACTGAACGCGGTGATTTACGGCTGTTTTTGAGTAAATTTGAGCCACCTATTAACAAACTCGTTAATGCGCATCAAGTTCATCCATCACATTAAGTAAATTTTAAATTTTGAATTCATAACTTTTTTTATAGCATGATTTTAATAAAAATACTTTTAATATGAATAATTTTAACAATAAATGTTTCGTTTTAATAAAAATACTTTTAAGTACGAATAAGTATGCGTTTTAATTGCTGTCATCCAAAAAGCTAATTTAAAATTTATGTTAGAACTCAAGAAATAAGATATAGCATATTTATATATTATAAATTTTAATATCTGTTTTTAAAAGAAATAACAGATGGTAAGTTAATTTTTTTTTTTTTTGTGGGGGGGTGCTGGAAAATGATTGGTTCTCAATGTGGTCGGTGGATGAAATAAGTTTGAGAACCTGTGATCTAAATGATACCAAAACGTATACATTTAAGAACGGTTGAATTACATGGATAAAAAAGTCTATGGAAATAATTTTAGAAAATGACACTCGAAATAAAACTACCTGAGTTTCATATACACTGCAAATACTATTTCAAAGATTCGAGCTATAAAACGAGTATATATTATTATTTCCTGAAACGAATGACGTACTCGTGGTTCCCAAAGGACTGATGTCAATCTTCGATTGCCAAATAAGAAATGAAAATTGTTTTTCGAAGGTTGCCGCAATACTCCTCGCAAAACGGCAACAGAATAATACAACAGAGCGAAACCGGAAATTTTAATATTGACACGAAATCTCACCCTAAGCTCACAAAGCAAACAGATTGAGTCCATTTAAAATTTTTCATTTCGAAGTGATTTGTTGACGTATCCGATCAACGCTTACCGATTCTTGTTTAAAAAATTAAAAATCCGAAATATAATTGAATTAGAAATACAGCCGGGGCGTAAAAAAAGCTATAAAAAATGACGAACGATTTTTCAATAAGGACACACCTGCCAAAGAATGCAATACGTATAATGCAGATTAATGCTATTAATACATTATACTCGTATGCTATACAATTACAAAGCACCATATTGTGAAAACAGTTGTTCAAAAGAGCCACATAAAGCCATCTTTGAAATAAAATAATATTCAAAATCGTACATTTTAGAAGAACCTAAAATTCTATCGTTATATTTTTTTAATATTGAGCCAGTGTCATTTATTTCATTTGAACGCCAATATTCCTTTCGGATATTAACGGAAAAATCAATATATAACAGTATAACTCATCACAGAGACTTAAAAAAAATTAAAACTTTACATAACTTATATATTTGACATGGCTATAATTTTTGGATTTCTTAAAACTGTGATGAGTTTGAATAATGGCAATCACGTGTATTGATTAAATAAACTTTCATTAAACATTACAATATTTACTATATTTAAACAATATGTTCTTTACTCGTTGATAAACTTCTAACCATTTTTTCAAGACTAGTCCAACGGGATTTAGTTTGAATTACAAGACTCTTTATTGTATCGTTTTGAACACGTTGTTACAATATAGAGTCAAATTATTGAAAACTCTGAATGAAAATGCATATGTATATCTTAAACCCCTCCAAGGGCGTTCACAAGTGAAAATTCAAGAATAGAGAGCAAATACAATTATTCGTAAAGACTTTATATCATTCAGTGTCCCGCACTTTTAATGTGCGCACGTATAATTTTCGCTCCGTTTACTATTACATTTATCTATACTAAAACTGTGAAATTTAAATTAAATTTAAACGTGTCGATTCCAAAAAAAAAAAAAAAAAAATTGTTCTTATAATAATAACAACGTACTCCCACTCTCCAGGGACTTCCCCTTAACAGAGGAATCAAGCATATCATGAGTATAACATTATTATATAATGCTTTCCACAAATCCTCGAAATAACCCGTCATCGAACAAAATTACTGAAACCAAACACAAAGATGAACCTTGCCCAAATAGATTAGATACTGGCCATAATACAAATGCTAGATTACCTGTAATTAAAATTATAAACAAAAAAAAAATTATCAGTAGATACTGGCATGACTTCAAATCATGCCGACTTTGTAGATATCGATAACTGGCAATTAGTCCTTTCACCTACTAAGCGTATAATCTATCCAGGAATGTCACCAAATCCAAAATTATTGAACAATCAAAAGATATTCTCTACTCCAAATCGTTACAGTTCTTTATGCGTCGAAAATAACATAAACAATACAAACAATTTTGATACAGTAATGGGAAACAATGATGTTTGTATCAGAACTCCTCCACCCATATTTATTAAATCAGATATAAATAATTACCAACAATTCTGCGAAGCAATTAATAGCCTAAGTACCCCACCCATGGAATTCTCATACAAAACTACGTCAAATAGCCTAAAACTTGTTACATCAAACTCAAACTCATATAGAACAGTAATTAGATACCTGAAAGAAGAAAATGTTAACTTTTATACATATCAAATACATGAGGACAACCTTACCATGTAGTTATAAGAAATCTTCACCCCTCTACTTCAATCGAGTTTATCAAAGAAGAATTAGGGAACTGCGATTTCTTAGCTCGGAACATAACTAATGTTCTTCATTATCAATCAAAAACTCCCTTACCACTATTTTTTGTAGACCTTGAACCAGCTATCAACAACAAGAACATCTTTGAATTAAAATTCCTCTGTTATACAAATATTAAAGTAGAAGCTCCTAAAATAAAAAAACAAATACCACAATATATGAACTGTCAAGACTACGGTCATACGCGCCATTACTGCAATAACATACCTCGTTGCGTTCGTTGTGGCGATCAACATATCTCTGAAATCTGAACAAAAAGCAAGGACCTTCCAACGAAATGTGTGCTTTGTTTTGGTGACCATCCAGCAAATTTTAGAGGTTGCCCTTCTCTCAGGAACATTCAAAATCTTCGAAACCTCCATTCTTCTCAAGCAAAGAAAAATCATCTCAACAATAATATCAGGTACTAAGAAAATAATAATGTACCATTCCACCTCAGTCATAACATTATCTCAGAAAATAAAAAAAACACCCACTCCAAATCTATCTTACGCTCAAGTGGCTCAAAACAAAAATACAATCACGCCAAAAAATCAAACCCACTTAGATACTACTATTCAACTAACTGCTAAACTTACATCATTTATAAACGAACTAAAATCAATAATTACTCCCCTCATATCACTACTTACAAAATTAATCAACCAAGTCCTAGATAAAAAATGACCACAAACCCAATCAATCATTCCTCTTTATCAATATTCTTTTGGAATGCCAATGGATTAAAACAATATAGTAATGAACTTTTCTACCTTATCCACATTCAAAACATAGATACAGCCCTCATTACTGAAACGCACCTATCAAAATCTGTAAACATAAAATTCAATGTCTACTTAACTATTAGAGTTGACCATCTTGATGGCACATCCCATGGGCGTTCTGCAATAATAATAAAATCCTCACTTTTTATAATCAAATGCAAAATATCAGTAAAACGTACCTACAAGCGGTAAATATCAAAATAAAAATAAATCATTTAAACGTTACAATCTCATCAGCTTACTTTTTTTCCGGGCCAACAAATCACAGAACCCAAATTGCAATCATTTTTCTAAAGTCTCGGTAGCTTTTTTATAATAGGTGGAGATTTTAATGCTTAACATAACCAGTGGGGTAGTACGCTAACACAAGAGGTAGATAAATTCATACTTCAATACTAAAAAATAAATAGTCTTTTATTTCCCCTGATGCACCAACTTATTGGCCTACATCTAATTGGGCATATAAAGGTTTCAAAAAATTTGAAGGAGGCTGACACTCCTTCAGCCGCCCCTTCCCCAACAACCATAAATTTGCCCCAGACGGTGGTGAGTCATCGTTCGAACCATCACCGAAGCCGTCAAAACGGGCGACAAGAACTCCAGATCCGCTACAAAGTGTTTCACGGTGATGTCATGCGAGTACAAGATGATTCGCGTGTGACCGTGCAAAACGAAATGGTTGATAGCTCGGCCGTCGGTACGACTGCAGTAATAATATATCACGTAACGTAATGATGCGCACAGATGCGGCGGACGAGCTCACGCGCGGCGAGAAAACAATTCACGTGGACGCACGCGATGGAAGAGAGAAGACGGAAGATGGGTTTGTGCGTTCCTCGATCGTCCGCACCGCGAAATGATCGATGGCACCCGATGTCCGTGGACATAGATCACGACGACGACGTATAGATGGGTTAGTCGCCGTGCGATCGGCTGACCGGTGAAAGGCGAACCCGCGGCTACTACGACGAGCATCTTCCACGCGCATTGACCGGAGACCGGTGTTTACGCGTCCCAATATATTAATTATCTTTCTCGTTTTTATTTTAGTCTCTCTCTGTCTCTCTCACTCTCTCTCTCTCTTCTCTCGATCGCAATGAAAGTAATAATTTCACTTGGCCATCGGGCACCTGACCCCGACGACACGCTGCCTACGACCTTGCCAGTGAGAGCCAACGATGTTCTATGCGCGTCAATGCGTGGCCGAATGATGCGTGACCGCGCGTTTCTTCGCCCACCCGTACCACTACGATGATCGCCGGAACTTGTGTCACTCGACCCGGTACATTCGACAGTAATATCTAGTCCTCTCGGACTCGGCAGGATAGAGAGGAAATGGTCCGTGATCCTCGGGTTGTCCGTCGATTTTGCGCGGAAACTTACGTAAACGGAACAAAACATTTCTCAATACCTGTAGTACGCGCATCTTTATTCTCACGGTTTTCAATGATTCCCCTGTACTATTTACGTAGTCGTTCGTACCGTATATTTATCGTCGTAGCTAAGCGATAAGTACTATAAGGATAAAACTTAAACCATTAATAAAATATAGCCTACCTCTTAAGACACTTCCTATCAATGTAATTAGAGATATTCTTGTACAAAATAATTACTTGTTATTCATCTTTGTTTTCCGGTCAAATACACCTCGCGTGAATAAGACCCTTCGCAAGATGTATCGCATTAAACATATCGACCACGTACATTGCAACCCTTAAGGATTTTAAGAATCCATG